CCTAATGTCAAACGCTTTCCAATGCCACTGCAATTGCAATATCATAGTTTGCTTAACAGTGGTACACATACGGAAGTCAATAATTTACTCAACAGACACACTCATGAGTACACGTCAAGAAAAACATGCACATTCCATACTAAACTTTGCATGGCTATGAGAATTACTAGTTACAGCAGAAATACACGAGTACGCATATTCATTTACAGTATTTATAGAAACGCGTGGTGCAAGGAATGCTGTTACAGTCCAAATCGGTCCTGCTGATGTCACAGTATTTTAACTGCAGACATAGAAAACATTTTAATTCGACACGTATGTTGTATGTGACATGTATGTTGTGTGAACTGTGAACTTTAAGATTGAGTCAGTGCAAACAAAAGATTTAATTATATAACTTATTACATGGTTACAACAGAACAATACAAATACTATATAATTTACACACGTATGAAACAGATTTATATGTTTAAATATAAATCATTTTAAAGATCACGGAATTCCAGAAGGCAACAAAAATGATTTCAAACACAAAATGAAAATATACAAAGAAAGCACTGTAGCTGCATGATCAATTAATAATTTTAAACTGGGCAAAATATGAACAAACACAAAGACACCAACTGGCACTAAGTTGGTACTTTGACCCTGGGGAACCCACAGGGTCATATATGACCCTTCCTTTTGTTTCTGCCTTACATTCAACCCACTCATCAAAGTTAAGAATTTTTTTTTGCTTTACAGCCCATTGTACCATATACGACCCAATAGCAGTCACATTTAGTGATTACTGACTGAATTAACCAGATTTTTTCCCACAATAAATATTTTTATTTCAGTTTTAAATTTGTTGCTGTACATGCTGCAAAGATTCACCTGTCAAGCTGTGAATAGGTAAGTGGCAGAAATTTTGCATCATCAGTTATAACGTTTAGAAGTTACAGAACATGTACAGCTAGGTTTTGGATGTTTTGAAACCTTTCTGGCAACTGTGATGATCATGTTCCATGTGCTCAACATCAGCCTCAGACAAAAACAGAGAGAATACAGGTGGTGCACCAGACCTTACAACCCACCACAGGTAAACGTCCTGTGTGTAGTGCACCTTTTTGCAGGTCTGTTCACTTGACCTGTTTCTTGATGGGTTGGCATGTTTGAAGCATGTGTTTCATTGCCAGCACACGGTGAATGATGAAAAGGAAAACTCAATAAATGTATTTTGAAAAAGAGAATGTTGCAAAGATTTGGGATTTCCTTCTTTTCTGTCCTTATTTCATAGGTGGAATTAACAAGTTGGAACAGCATGAACAGTCCAGCGGGTCGTATATGGCACATTCATAACATGGACTGGGAAAGGGTTATTTTTACAAAACACCCGTTTTTGAGTTCACTGGGTCTGTATGATCATTTTAGCCAATGGACATATTTTTCCTATAATAATGTGTTCTGGGTTCCCCAGGGTTAATGTAGCCCTTAAAAGGGCCACACTCAGGCAACAATACAGCGACATACACGGCAGGCAAACGCGGGGAAACCCAGAAAGCTCACATGGGAGGGCAATCACACAATGACTAAGACACACGAGGATCACGTAAGGACCGAGTACATACACAGGTAAAGGTACACATGTGTCAATATTTACAACACTTCGCTACTCTGAGTCATCTCGCCGGCACTACAGTATTTAATTTTTTGTAATTAAGTATTTTATTTGCCTCAATGTGTACAGATAAGAAAGAGCTTATTACTATTTAATATAAAATATCTGGAAATTCAATATATGGTTCAAGGAAAAATTAAAAATTTATATTTTATACATTAATTTTATTGTGCAGTGGAAAGAAATCTGTAAAATTCTGCTATGATGATATAACAATTCATTGACTTTCGCACCTAGGTACCATGTTTTTGAAATATGAACTATTACAATATTATTAGCTAGTATGGTCATTCACACCTCCAGGTTGTTGGTTCAAATCTTGCCACCTTTCCATGTCTCCGGAGTTTGAATTTCATTTGTCTTGCTTCTCAGGTTCTTTACTGCAAAGTTCAAAGAGAAAGTTTTACTGGAAAGAGGTGCAAGCTTTGGTGACACTACCACTAGAATTAAGGCCAATTCATACTTCATTTTTCCGCGTGCGGTTTCGGTTGCGCACAGGGTGAGGGGACATAAATTTCGTCGTTAGCGGTTTGCGTCGGGCGGCTGTGAATTGTACGTGGGTTGCCCCGATTTTTTGTCTGGCGGAGCTCACGCGCGTCCATAGATGTGGTCTGTGAATGTGCAACAAAATTGACTAGGTGTTTCCAGTAGGTGGCAGCAGTGACTCTGACAGAAGAGATGTCAACTAAGAAAGAGTAGAGGAAGAATACAGATGCTCCTCTACTTACGAACTTTCAGACATATGAACGAAGAGGACTGTAACTCCAAAAAAGACCTCTCAAAGACCCACCCCTTTCCAGCGAGCTGGTGGAGCGACACGGCGCTTTATCGTGTCGATAAAGTTTCCTACAAGCCGCCAGTAGCGAGAGGTGAAACCAAAGAAACTGCAGAGCTCTATGACACTGCAGTGTTGGGCAGCCCTTCACTGCAGCGATTTTCCCTGGGTCTCACCCCTCATTACATGACACTGAAACTGCATCTTGGCGCGGGAGGGAGCACTCCTGGTCAGCCTCGCGAATGACGATGAAGATGGGGCACAACTTGTTGAGCAGTGTTGGCGAGCAGATTGTTCAGGTAGATGTGTGGATGCCTGTCAGATTAGGTCAGTGATTTCACTGACGACTTGGCATCCCACTTCACACCAGTATAAGTGTGTGGTACATTTTTAAATAATGTCCCCCCAATATAAGCAGACCCCCCAAACCCAATAATCTGCATGTTACCAATTCCAGACCAATTCACTGCACATGCAGAGGATGAAATATATACCTCATGAAGATTGTATTCCTGTATCACACAAACATTTTATCATATGGATCAGTTATTTATTTATTTATTTTTTGAAAATTATTGAAAAATCTTTATGACGACATCGCACCCTTCCACGATGCGTGCCCATTGTGATGTTACAATATACATTGCACCCCCCCTCCCCCCTGCATGGCGGGGCAAATTCAGTCCCCCTAATGTCAAACGCTTTCCAATGCCACTGCGATTGCGATACCATAGTCTGCTTAACAGTGGTACACATACGGAAGTCAACAATTTACTCAGACGCACTCATGAGTATATGTCAAGAAAAACACGCACATTCCATACTAAACACTGCATGGCTATGAGAATTACTAGTTACAACAGAAATACACGAGTACGCATATTCATTTACAGTATTTATTGAAACACCCTGCTGACTGCTGTCCCCATGACCCAACCCGAAATAAGCGGCAGATAATGAAAGGATGCAGATAATTAATGTAAAGTTAAAATAATGTATATGACATTGAAACTACAGGTGGCACAGTGTCTCAGTGGGTGTCAATGTAGCCTTTCACCTCCAGGGATGGGGGATCAAATCTTGCCTCCGACTGCATGTGTTACATTGGAAGTATTTATTTGAGATAGAGAAGTCAGTAAGTATCTCAGGCAGGCAGACAAAGACGGAATACCTGCTCCGCTTTCTTTCAACTTCGCTGGCAGAGATAAAGCGTGGCCGCCGTCTTACCTCGACCTTAGCTTGGTTATCGTGGTTCTGCTGACACATGTCTGACATAGAGAAGGCAGAGTAGCACCGTGAAACACCAGACTTCAATAGGAGATGACATTTTCCACCATCATTTTCACCACCAGAAAAGCAGAATTTTAGTGATTCCACGTAAATGCACCTCATCACTGTTAACTATAGGTATCAGAACCATATATGATTTTTTAGTTATTACTGCTTGCATACAGAAATGATAATTATCCAGCTGATTACATTAACACGAAAATGAATCCCACCTTTGTTCTATACAAACCTCACAGCAGATGCCTTGACCTTGACTGATAAGATGGAAGTGCCCAGCCGTGAAACCAGACAACAAGTGGAAAAACAAGATAGAATGTTCTAGAAAGTTTAGACCTGGGGTCTCAAACTACTGGCCCACAGGCGAAATCCGGCCCGTGAAAACACCTTCACACGGCCCTCGACACGTTATTTTACTATTTAATATGGCCCTCAAATTAATCTGTGTGTACTGGGTATGAAATGGTTACTGGGTTCAGGGTAAAATTCCCGATACTTAGTATTACCGTTTCAAATTTTAATTATCGTTAAAACAGTGGTTGATTATGGTGCTTTGAAAAACTTGTCTGGCATTAGCCATCGGTCTCACAGGCACAGTGTGCAACATGGGTTTGTTTTATGTCAGTAAAAACAAGGCAGAAGGCAGTTACAGCACTTTGACAATTTTTCAGCCCTTTAAGACGACCAAGTCTGATGCGATTGTATTTTTAATCTTCGTAACCACCACCCACTAATTTATAGCAAATGCCAGGTAAGTTAACTATAAGTTCAGCGCATAATGTTAGAACTTCGAAATAGGGGGAAAATGTCATGGTCTGTCTAACTTGCTAATAGTTTGTCAATGATGTAAATTGAAGCAATTCAGTGTTACCTACACTTCTCAAAATACTGCACATTGCCAGTGATGTAGTTCAGGTGCCATTTTTTTCACCTCTGAGCTAGCTGAATACCGATTTGCTGAGAATTAATTATGTGTATGTTTGTATTGATATATTGTTGAAACAGAACAATTTAGATTTTAGACGAGTATCCTTCTTCTGTATGGATTTTACAGCGTAACTACGATGTGACAGCATTATTTGTATCTGTCTGAAGTTCAGTGAGTAGTCGAACTCTTAGGAGATGATATGGTTTTCATATGTTTACATGGAAATTGGCTATGTTGTAATTTTAATGTCTATGCAAACAAAAAGTGCATAATGCTGCTACAGTAAAATCCGGTTATAGTGGACTCGCTTATAACGGAACATCGTCAATAATTTACGAGGTGGTCCCGGCCGTGCGCCTTTAAGAACATGCAGAAAAAACATCGGATATAGCGGACTCGCATATAACGGAATTTTGCTTATAATGGATAAACAATTTGGTCCCCAGGGCCGCTTTTAGCTGTAGTTTTGTTCGGCTATAACGGACATGCAGGCTCCGCCTACAAGGCGTGTGGCGTGCCGGTGATATCCAGCGCAGATACGTAGTCGGGATTATTAATAGTCACGCATCTGGTCAGCTAAAGTTGGATTACTACATGTACAATATAATGATCTATACGACAAGTGTGTCTGCTGGGGTGTGGCATGAGTAAATGGTGTCCTGTAGTTGTGTTCTGGCCTTACAGCAACTCTGGATATAACGGACTTTGGATATAACGGACTGTTTTGCCAGGTCCCTTGAAGTCCGTTATAAGTGGATTTTACTGTAACTGAATTTGCTGTTATTGATATAGAACTTGATAAAATGATTGCAGTTTGTGTATGAGTGGTTTTTAAAAGACTTTCAGAAAATTTTTATAATACAGCAATAACACTGAATTTTGGTCACTATAATCATGAAATTAAAGTTTCATACCATTCAATCTCAGCTTTGTAATAATGTATTAATCCTTTAATTTAACAGAGGCCTGTTTTTAAGATACATTTGAAATTTTAAGTTGAATTTTTTTTTGTTGTTGTGTGATTTCTCTTGTGGCCCTCTTGGAGGGGGAACACCACATAGTTGGTAGCCCCCTGGCGGGGGCGGGGGATGGGGGGGGAGGTGGGTAATTTCAGCTTGAGACCCCTAGATTAGACAATAATGTATCAAGCTGAAGCAGCTGCCTGACTCCTCAGAAAAGCCCCTATAATGGACCTCGAGGGGCTGTTCACTGTCCACTGTTCACTGTTCACTGTCCACTGTGCTCCCTGCCTCAGCACTTGTTGATATGTGTGCTCCGCTCCAGTGAAGAAAAGCTGTGTGCAGGGCTGTACTGCCGTGACTTTCAGTCTCCAGCTGAAACTTCCACTAGGCACTTTAAAATAAAAAGCTTGCCACTCAGAAACATCTTCTTACCTTTAAAGTTGATGATAAACTCCTTTCTGCCGATAGAGATGCGCATTCTGCCGTTGATGTCACCTAGGTAACTTTTTTCCAGAGTATGAGACTGACTTGAAGCTTCATATTTTTCCTCCCTCTACAGGGAATAAAATCACTTTTTCAGCCACTGCATGTTACATTATACCTTTTAGAGCAGTTTGATGTCTATGTATATGCAGTTCTTTTCATTTTTTTCCAATTTGAATTTTGACAATTCCTATGCTGAACTACTAAAATAGCAATACATTAGTCTTGCTTTTTAGAAATGGCAGTGCAAGGTCTCCACTCTAATAGCACATTAGATATGAAACAATTAGGATGTCAGAGTTTTAAACCAAGAGTACAGTGGTTAACCAAAGAGACATTCTGGTTCCCAGAAGAGGCCTTGAAATCATAGTAAAGATTTACCTTGAAATATAACTACCGTATTTTCCGCACTATAAGGCGCACTAAAAAGCCTTTAATTTTCTTAAAAAAACAACAGTGCGCCTTATAATCCAGTGCGCTTTAAACGTGGATTAATTTCTGTTGTGCATACTGAACTCGAAGCGATTTGAATGTTTTAGTATTGAAAAGTGAGTGTATTGTGTAGTGCTTCACGTGTTATAAATGAACAATTTCATTTATTATGAATACGCTGAATACGCTGACTTTTGATTTAGCGGTATAGGACCGTATTATAAGTATTATTCAATTTTGAGTTATTGTTAATAGGCTGACTTTTGATTTAGCGGTATAAGACTCTTGTTTTTTTACATGTTAAAGAGTAGTGAAGACGCTCATAAACGTTTGAACAATGTTGACAGTCATTGTGAACACGTGATGTAAAATAAATTTTGGTTGACTGGCTTATCTGACTGTTTTGTTTTGCTTAAAGCGCCTTAAAGTCCGGTGCGCCTTGTATGTGGAAAAAGTTTGAAAATAGACCACTGATTGACGGTGCGCCTTATAATGCAGTGCGCGTTATAGTGCGGAAAATACGGTACATTACGTGGACAAAAGCATTGGGACACACCTCTTAGTCATTGAATTCAGGTGTTTCAGTCACACCCATTGCCGCAGGTGTATAAAATCAAGCACATAGCCATGCTGTCAGGTCTGCCACTGGAGTGTGGAGCAGAGGAAACGTGTTCTGTGGAGTGACGAATCACGCTTCTCTGCCTAGCAGTCTGATGGACGAGTCGGGGTTTGGCAGATGCCAGGAGAACGTTACCCGCATGACCGCATTGTGCCGACTGTAAAGTTTGGTGGAGGAGGGGTAATGGTATGGGGTTGTTTTTCTGAATGAATGAGCAAAAATTCCCACAGACATTACAAAACACTGTAGAAAGCCTCCCCAGAAGAGGGGCAGCTGTTATAGCTGCAAGGGGGGGACCAGCTCCATATCGATGCCTATGGAGTTAGAATGGGACATCATGAAAGTTCCTGTAGGTGTAATGGCCAGGGGTCCCAATACTTTTGTCCATATAGTGTATGCAAGTTAAAACGTTAGTGTCTGTTAAAGGCTGACAATAATTATAAGAAAAATTAAGGGGGTCTGACCTCACATCCATACTGTCTCCACTGCCCTTCACTGTCCTTCCAGTACCAGAGCCATTCTGTAGTAAGGAAGTGACTGGAGTGCTTGGTGACAGAGGACTGTGTGGAGAGGCGACGGACTTCAGCTGATCCACATTTCATGGTCTGGAAGTCTACAGGAGGGAGCCCCTCACTGAATAAAAAACAAGATCACAGTAACGAGTGTGAGAGCATCTATGTGAAAAGCTGTCAGCATTCGATCATTCACACTATGTTGGTGTGGCTGTGACGTGCGACATGACTACCTAACGTCGTTTTCTGGCTTGCTATAGGCTCTTTCCACGTCCTCCATGTCGGGATGGTCGTTCCAACTCACACCATCGCTGTGTAAGATCTGCCATCGGTAAGGCAGTTCATAGTGCACATTTCTGCACTTTTCTGGTAGGAAATAAAAACAATTGGCCAACAGAAGATTCACCAACGTGTTTCTGTATCTGTCACAGAGATGGGTGTCTATACCAGGGTTGGGGCCATTCTGGAATGCATTTGTCAATTCCAATCCAAATCAGAAAATGGAACTGGAGTTGGAATTTAAATCTCCCTGAAATTCGAATTCAATTCCAAGTCTGTTCTCCATAGTTTTTTTTCCCCAATCCCAACTCCAGTTCCATTTCCTGATTTAGACTGGAATTGACAAATGCATTCCGGAATGGCCCCAACCCTGGTCTATATATTCTCATTTTACAACACAGACAAAAATAAATTCAGTGCACATATTCATTTTAGGAGACATAATATAAAATATGTATTTGAAAAGGCATGAAATTGTATTTAGTTTACATGATGTATGTAAAAATGTATTTGGTTTACAGGGTCTTTATCCTGAATGAGAAATACTTTTTTTTCCTTCATAATTTACCCATTTAAGGAAATGAAGCAACAGAAGTAACTAAAGGTCATGTAGACATTTGTAGGGACCCGGGTCTGAGCTTTAACTACAGCCCCCCCTAGAACAACCTACCTTTGTATCCACACTGGCCCAGAATATAATAGAAGCAGATGTCACTACTGTTTGGCTCAATGACCTTCATGGCGGATGATGATGATTCAGACCGCCAACTTTCTGCAGGTGTACGTGAGACCCGAAAATAAACACGGGAAAGGAGGACAAAAATACTGCCAGCATCAGAGCATCCTTTAGTGAAGGGTTTCCCAGTCCGGTCCTTGGGAACCCATAGACAGTCCACGTTTTTGCTCCCTCACTAAAGAATCCCCGAGGACTGGATCGGGAAACACTACCTTAGTGTTTTAAGTTAAGTTGGGCAGATATTACATAACACGTGTATGGCTATTAGAGTCATCTTACTGCCAAGTTAGCCCCCAGTGAGAGGCCGGTCACAAGTGCAAGATAATTGTAAAATAAAAAAATAAAATTTGTAATCAAATGCTATGAAGTTGTCATTTAAGAAGACAGACTCAGAGGCCACATGCTGTCAAAATGGAAACTAGTAAGAAACTACAATTGTGTTCATATTACAGATGGCACCATTTGAGTGGTCCCGGAATCACACAGAAGCTCTTACCTGCTGCTTTCTCAAAATCGGCGGTGATCATGAAGCGGTTCTTGTAGATCTCATACAGGACGCGCTGACTGTTTAGGTCGACCTTAAAGCACCTTTTTTCCAGTATCATTATAGAGCTTTCGTCAAACCTATGGGCGCGTCGACAATTATTGGCAAAAATGCAATCTCCTTGCAGGAAGAACTTGCAGATATGAAGCTTGAAGCACTTCTTCTTATATGTGCAGGAGCCGTGCTTATCACTGCCCAAGTTGTAATGAGAGCAGATCTACGACCATTAAAAAAAACACAAACAAGACGCTTACTATACATGTTACTATACAGTACACTGAACCTTCTCTGTCTGAGCCATCTCATTTAAACCTTACATCAGGCAGCAGCCAATTATCATTCTGCAGCAGCAGCTGGAACAGCTCCAGCTGGTCAAGGTCTTGCAATCCTTCTTCTGTCAAAATGTTGGAGTTGTGGGAAGAGTGAACCTTGTGGGAGTACTTGCATTTTTTCCTGGTAAAAAGATCATTTCATATTTCTCATCAGTTAGGGGTCATGTTGTAGAAGTTACTCATCACAGTGATCAGAAGCAGAATCAGGTTTATTTGGCCAAATACGTTCACACAAACAGGAAATGTGGTGCCTTGGAAATCTATTGGGTTAGAGATATGGAAGTTGGTATGATCCAACAGCCACAACATCACAAGCAAACCCAACATAAGGTCCATTCAGTCATTTGCTCTAACCTTATTGATGGCAACAGAAATAACCAAGCACTTGAGTGGGAATTGGACCCAGTGGACAAGTTCCGGCAAGGCCTATAGCTGCCATAATGAATGCATCGCTGTCTTCAGGCAATGTGCCTGACCAATTTAAAATTAGCAGTCATCAAACCACAAATGAAGAAACCAAGTTTGGATTAACAGGAGCTCAGCAATTACAGACCCGTCGCTAACATTGTCAGCACTGACAATTTTTGTCCAAAGTTTTGGAGAGGATAGTCAGTACTTCAGCCATACTTGGAGACACACAACGCACTGGATAGACTGCAGTAGGGCTTCCGCCCAGGGACACAGCAAACTGCCTAAACTAAAGTCGTAAATGACATAACAATGGCAGCTGATGCTGACAAGGCGACTATGCTAATGCTTCTGGGCTTTAGTCTGGCCTTTGACATGGTTGATAATTATACTTTCTTACATAGACTTTGATGTTGGGTTGCGTGGAATGGTGCCAAAGTTGTTTAAATCCTATTTGACTAATAGATATCAATATATTTCCTACGGCGATTACTTACTATTCAACACACAGACATTAATGCATGCTCTTGTATACAGTAGGTTATTAGGTAATGCTCTTATCTGGGAGCACACCCTGCACATTACACAACTTGCAGTGTTTTCAAAATACAGCAGCTGGAACTGGCATCAGAAGCAGGAAGTCTGCACATAAGCCCTGCTCTTACGCAATTCCCTGTACTGCCTTCCTGTCAGGTTCATATAAGACACTTAATGGTCTAGTGCCTGCCTACCTACCTACGAGAATTACTTTAAGGTTACAAACTGCATCGTTCACTTCCTGGTCATTCCAGATCTGAATGACAGCTGGTGGTAAAGCATTCTACTACATGGCCTCTGTATTGTGGAATGGTTTGAGATGCTGTACCGTCTCTGTTTTTAAATCTTGACTGAAGACCTAAGCTTACCCACAACTTAACATATCACACACTGTAACTATGGCTGCTGGTGCTGCTGTACATGTCATTGTTTTTTTTAATCTAAACTTAGCACAAAAAGTAAGGAAATTTGTTTGGTCGGTTATTTCCTTTTTGTGACAATGCTTCTTGGCAATAAATATACCGCTTCCCTATTACCTGCTTTTGAATAATTCTGTATAAATAATGCAGGAATGTGTCACAACACACCCACATAAAGCACTTTGGGGTGTGCTGTGAAAGGCACCATTGCTAAAAAATACAAATGAACTGAATCGGTATTTCACCAATTCTGAAAGCCTGGTGTGAGAGATTACTACAGTGTCATTGTCTAGTTCTTGTGCCATCTTGGAAAAGTTCAATCTTTTCAACTTCCTGTATGGAGCTACAGAATATGGGAAAAGGAAACGCTATATAATAGCAGTCATATTGTCACAAGTACATAGTCCATGTTGAAAAAACTAAAGAGGTAATTTAATTTAGCTCCGTTCACACCCCAATAAATAGACGTCTGTATTTAAACCAAGTTGTGTACCCAACATCAAACTGGCTTTTACGCCGTTGAGTAGAAAAGGCAATTTAGTTTTTAAAAAAACCCTCACACCCTTTACATATGTTATAGTGGAATTTAATTTAAAAGTCTTTTACTAGAGAAAAACAACTGAGAATAAATGGCTGGGGGAGCTGCAGGTAAAAGAACAAGCCGTTTTTAAATGACGTCTCAGAAGATGACGACTTACCCGCGTCCGCACTGTCCGCAAACCAAATACTTGCACAGGTGCAGATTCTGGCAAGCGCGGCCGTCGCACTCATGCATTTGGCAAAGGCGCACCGACGTCTTGGCGATGACTCGGCTGGCGGCGCCCGGCTGCGGACCCGCTACCCCCGACTGGCTACTGTCGCCTGTGACGATGAACCTGGAGGTGTCGCCGAGGAAGGCGAGGAGATCCTGATCGCTCAGGCTGTAGCGCTGCCGCACAGCGCGGTGTAGCTCACTGTACTCCATACATCCCCGGCTTCGGCACAGCAGCTTTGTTATAAAGGCGGAAACTTCTTTAGTCGACATCTTGTCTTCGGCACACTGAGTTCCCCGGTCAGTTACTCAGGGTTATATAGCCAGGACTGGAAAGCGAAAGAGGACGGTCCTTCAGCTGTCTTCCCGGTCAGAAACGGGATTAGTTTCTTTTTCGATTTTCTGTGTGTTGCGTTCTTCGTTCGATTTCGTTTCACGGGAAATATTTCGAGGAAGTATTGTTTTTATTGTCGTGTGTACGCGGTATAATGCAAATCACTTAGCTCTTTCCTTCAGACTAATTAATGAATACTTTTTAAAAGTGAAATCATGTGTTTTGGGAAACCTATTATAAAAATGAGGGGATTTTAAATTGGTTAATGACTTACTTCTTTTTCTTCCCAGGAAGAGAGAGTCCACAAAATTCAGCTCTATTCTGTAAAGGTTGATCCCGATATGGTTCTTAGCACGAATAGCATAGCCATGGCTACCTTTATACGGAGGAGTCCATCTGAGGATGTAGTAAGTAAAACGGCTTAAGTAACGCCACATGAAATTAGCTATTAATATTCCGGCATAATTCTCTAAGTCATCTTTAATTTGACAGATCGTAGGGGTTTTTGTTAAGAAACCATGTAAATTAACGATCTATGCATGATAATTCTTTAAATATGATAGCTGTGTTGTGAGCAAAAATCGCAGTATACATAACCACACTTTAACGCGTATAAAACTGGGCAGAAAATACCGCGTTGCATTAAACGAGTAGGACTTTTGTCCAACCTAAGCCTCCGTAGTGTTGTGCAACGAGAAGCAACATGGCGTAGTCAGGAAGAGGAAGCGTGCGGTATATTTATACTATATCGCGATTCATTTTAATCGAGGAGGAATAGCTTAAACTGTGTTTCTGCTTGCTTCGTTAATAAACTGTAAACAATTGTTTTATTTTTCCAAAGGAAAAATGTAGCCGATCAAGTTAGCCACATGTTAACTAATGCATGGCGTGCGTTTTCAAAGGGGATGGGATTACTCTTACAGCCCTTATACTGTAATGTGAACATGTCAGTGAATATTCTACGTGTACAGTGTGCTTCCTGAACCTTCAACGCTAGCTGATAAACTCGTTATTTTATTATTGATTGCCATGACGGAGACGACAGGCGACGAGGAGCTTCGCCCTGTCCCCAAGGAACGAGCGATCCTGGAGAGCTTCTTCACCCAGCTCGGGGTGTTTTCATTCGACCGGGCCAAAGACTACGTGGAAAGGGAGAAAGACAGCAGCCGGAGCGCCGGGGCTATCTGGGCCTCTTTCCTCGCTGCCCTGGCCCACCTGGCCGCGGCGGAGAAAGCCTACCATAACATGACTTTTCTAGGGCAGAAAATAGGTAATATAGACAATAAATTAATTCAAAGACATACACACGTGCTGCTTCTTAAGTTTCCCTTTACAGACGTAGTCCAATCTATATTAAGATTAAAAACCTGTTTAAGGGAATTACTTTTTGCCTCATTCATTCATTAAAGTGCCCAATTAAATTATTACATTGGCTTTGGTGCAAGGCATCCTTGTTGATGTTCACAAGTTTTACAAGAACCAGGGGTTCTCAAACTTTTTGATCAAAGGTCCGCATCAGGTTAGTCCAAAAATATTTTAATAACAAAACGGCATTTCATGAAATGTAACTAATTAACTTAAATCGTTTATATTCTGTCAGTGATGGGGCGGAGATTATGACACGTTAGGAATGTGCAAAATTTGATGGTTCTACTTTTTTTTTTTTTTTACTTAAAGCCACATTAAGCCTTTTTACGTGAACCATATAGATTCATAAGGTGCATTATCGTATGGGTCCGGATTAACTTGCAGTGTCCGGACTTTGACAATCCCTGGTTTAGCTGATTACTCGGTTAACGTCAATATAAACCCGGCAGGTGGGCAGTCGTTTTTCAGTCGGAAGGACTCGATCAGGACCCTCTACACCTCCTTGTACAACGAGCTGAAGAAGGTGGCGACCACCGGGCGCAACGCCACGGGCGGCACGGCTCCCTACCTGGAGGACCTGCTGTCCCACCTGTCGGAGCAGCTGTGCTTCTTCATCCAGGCCCGGGTGGAGATCGCCGACTTCTACGAGAAGATGCACTCACTGAGCACCCATAAGTCCATCAACTCGGAGGAGCTGGTGAGCTTGCTGGAACCCGTGCTGCAGAAGTACAGCTCCAGGTAAGTTCATGGGGAGACTGAATGATGTGGCAGATATTCTTCCTGTTTTTAGTCAATGCTTGCGTGAAGCTCTTTTTCACCCTTGCCAGGATGCCCTCAAAATATCTAAACCGTTGTCTCTAAGTAAGTTGGCTTAGAGACATAGAGGGCTGTCCCAAGTGTTGAGGACTAATAATGTAGAAGAATCAATAGATTACATTAGTCAGGGACGGATTACGGACCGGGCCANCCTCCCCTCCCTTGGGGTTATTGTAGGCTAAGTTCTGTGAGTCAGCATATCATGGCAAAGCATGTCCAGCAGGGGGCAGACTTCCATTTCACAGCTGCCTTACTTTGCAGTCCTTCACCTTTGTTTCCTTTGCATGATCAGCATGGTGTCTGGTGCTGTTTATACACCTAAACGACTCGCCGTAAACTAATTACTTGTTGGGTTATGTATCCCGTCGGTCTCGTGTGTGTATGTGAACAGGGCTTTAAATTTCCAGCTGCCTTTCATTTCCAAAATTTCTACAGTAACTAAAATTACTGGCACCTTCATCTGCATAATAATACAGAACCTAAGCTTGGTATAGAAGAGCTTCAAAGAAGCCTAAAAATGCACTTATAATGGAATGAAACGGGTATGTTATACTGTACATTGCTCTTCTTTTTAAAACACATGCATTATCTGTGCTGTTATCTATTACTGTGTGTTTTATTGTCTCCATTGTATTTTTTGAGGTATGGATGCCATAAATTTCCTTTGGGATTAATATTGTGTCTGTCTATCTTTGTCTGTTTGTATCTATATTCATGTATCTAATCTATGGAGTGCAGGGTCAGTCATCCATCCATCCATCCATCTCTCCCTCCGTCCCTCCAGCACCCTTGGGGCATTTTGACAGCATAGTGTCGACTTTGTGTAGTGGAGAGAATGCAGGTGCTGAAAAATGGGTGTTTGGAGCATTTAGAGCTGCTGTAGGTGGTAGGAAGAGGGTTTTACTCTCTCGCTGCAAGTTTTTGCGGAAGTGGAAAAGTAGAGAATTTGGAATAAGCGGAGGTGACAATGCTTTAAAGCTGTGAAGCCAGACTTGAGTCCCCCCCCCCCATTACTGTTTCAGCCCTAGGACTGAAAGCAGGGGGGGGTGGGGGGTGTGGGAGTGGTTGTTATTCTGGACTGATCGTGGTCCATGCTGGCCTTTTGCAGCTGTAGCCCAGTGAGTCCTTATACTGTAGACTTTGTTTTAAGAAAATAATAATAAAACCAGTTGGTGCATCGGCTCAACAGAACCATGTTCACTCACATCCATCCAATGAAAGAATGAAGCTCACAGCATTACAGTGATCTGTTCTGGAAGAAAGAGCAACAGGGTCTCTACTGACACTATTGCTGATAAACAGGTTCCATGTCACAGAAGTGGGGCGACATGGTGGTGCAGTGGTTAGCACTGTTGCCTCACACCTCTGGGACCTGGGTTCAAGTCTCTGCCTCTTACATGTGTGTGGAGTTTGCATGTGCTCCCCGTGTCGTTGTGGGGTTTCCCCCCCACAGTCCAAAGACATGCTGAGGCTAATTGGCGTTGCTAAATTGCCCTTAGGTGTGCATGTGTGAGTGAATGGAGTGTGAGTGTGATGGGGGGCGATGGGCTGGCCCCCTGTCCAGGAGGAGTCTCCTGCCATCAGGTGGCAGATGTGATGAACGTATGACTCCAACCTTAGCAATATGAAGCCATTAGACCATAATTAACATCAGCTTGCTAGAGGTTGGCCACTTTAGTACTTGGTACTGTTGGCTCTACTTGGTTCCTCTAGGTTTCACCACCCCATTCTGAGCCGCCTGGAGAGCAGCTTCCAGGTGGAGGTGGACGTGCTGACCCAGCTGCTCCGGTGCCAGGCGGAGATCTCCGAGTGGAAGTTCCTGCCCTCTCTGCTGAACCTGCGCAGTGCCCACACCAAGCTGCATACCTGGGGCCAGGTGTTCGACAGGCAGCGTGAGACCCGAAAGCCCCTGTTCGGCAGCCAGGTGCAGAAGGCCTCGCAGCCGCCCCACCTGTACCTCTGGTTGCATCGCTTCCAGCAGACTCTGCTGGCCAAGTTCACTTTCTACTTCCACGAGGCCTTGAGCCGGCAGACCACGGCGTCTGAGATGAAGGCCCTCACGGCCAAGACCAGCCCCGACTACTACGGCAAAGTGTCCAGCTTCATCCGCAAGTGTGACGCCCTCAATGTCTCGCTCGTCTTCGACAATCGTGGCTTGGAGAGCTTCCAGGGCCACGGCTACCACCACCCAGACTCGTACCGTGAGGCCCCCAAGGGTGTGGACCAGTACCCAGCCGTGGTGTCCCTGCCTAGTGAGCGGCCCGTCACGCACTGGCCGAGCGTCATCATGATTATGAGCGACCGGGCCTCGGACCTCAACACACTTGACAAGGTGGTGCATTTCTACGACGACAAGGTTCAGAGCACCTACTTCCTGACCCGCCCTGAGCCCCACTTTACCATCGTAGTCATCTTTGACTCCAAGAAGTCGGAGAAGGACTCGCACATCGTTTCCTTCCTACAGGAGCTTTCTGGCTCGCTGAGGAACTCCAAGCCCTTCACCACTCTCAAGCCGGGCTCCAAAGGCTGAGTCAGCCCTTGTCGGAGAAGAGCAACTGGAAAATTTGACTTGAGCTGGGCAGTGAGACGGATTTGCTTGTGGTGTGGCTTAGAAAAATTCTGTAGTTGGTCAATGAAAATCAGCTAAAGTGCTGAATTTGCTTTCAGTTCTTGACATTTAAATTAATTTAACTGAAGAATAAAGGAAGAGCTAAGATTTCTTTGAACATTGGTTAGCTTTGTGACAGTTGCACTAGCATGATCAGACCAGTTCATGTCCTAAATGATCGCTCTATCTGCACTATGCACAGCTTGCATAGATGCGTTCCATCCTACCTAAGTATTGTGTTTAGCTTAAGAGGGTACAGAGTTAGTGGTTTATCTGACCCTTCAAACTTGGTCTCACTGGTATGTGTCTCATGGAGGGCAAGAAAAAGGTAAAAATATAATTTCACCAAGGGGATTGATATTTAGTGATATTAATATTCTACATAGACTTGACAAACCAAAAACAACAAATAATGCACAATGCCCATGCTAGCATGGTGCCACAAATTCCAATTACTTATATAAAAAGTCAGTTTTATAAAGTGTAAGCACTGGAGGAACTTCTGAGCGGAACGTGTCTGTAGTGAATGTGTAGAACCGTTTGGGTCCTGGCTTTGCTGAAGAAACACGCTGCTCTAGTCTGTGTGCTAGTGGACTGAGTGTTGATGAGATTGTGTCGAGTATTGAGCTGAGAAGAAGCTGGACCAGTGGAGTTCACCTCCAACCAGGAGAGTCTCCACTGCTGCAAAGACACATGAAATGGGGGTCCAACTTTTTTCGTACTGCCATTTTTGATTTTGCCTTAAGTGGAGCTCGAGATGTAAACCTCATTAACGAGCTGAATTCTGCAGCCATGAACTGCCCAGACGACGGTCCCCTTTCTCATCCTCTTCTGTAACTGCTGTCACCATTCCATCTGTAAAGGCTAAAAGCTCAATGTTTACATTTGTGACTTAGCAGTTCGTCTCATTTTTAATAAAAGATGGTAAAAAAAAATGTGGTGTGGCATTAGTGAGGATTTGGTCACAAGGAGAGGGAGAATCATGAGTAATTGGGAAGGTTTTAGGACCCTGAGGGGCAGTGCTACTTACACATACCCAACATGAAGAATAATTGGCCATTGAACTTAGCCTTGTTCCTTCTCTGCCTATTGTGACAGGGAGGTCTGACCAGTGGAAATGGGTACACTGGTGTGATTGACAGCCCAGCACCATCATGAGGTCACGCGCTAACTTTAGTCGCGTAATATACACCAGCCAGCAGATGCAAGTTGACTTACTCCGGTGCTCTGTTGAGCAAGGCGAGATGCAGGGCGGGCAGACAGATATACCCTCCAAACTTTCAGGGACTCCCCACGCCTGCGTTCCCACCTGCCTCTCCCTTTGAGGGAGTTTTTCCTTGCCACTGTCCCTTCTGGTTTGCTAACTGGAGGCTTTGAGCGAGGACAGTGTAAAGTGCTTTTAAACAATGTGATATTGTGAAAACACGCCATATAAATAAAATTTCATTGAATGTCCATGTCAAAGTTTTCCTTAGTTCTCCATCTCAAAGCAGCACAAAATATACTCAGAATATAATTGGGTTGTTGAAAAAGGGGTGTGTCTAAGGGTCACAGACAGGAAGTAAGGAGTGAACAACTGTCAGAGACAGAGACTACATCCCTAACCCTTTATATATCCCACTCCCCTCCCCCGTTACCTTTCCTTCACCCCAGAAGTTTGTCAGAATTCCAGATGTTGAAATGCTGTCCCAGTACCTTAGGGAACAAGTAATCGAGGGCCAATTCTCGCTGAAATCACCCCTTCACCAGGGGCATGTGGAAGTCTCGTCAAGAGCACCCTTTGCGGAAGAAAAATTCACCGTTGACGTGGCATGAAAGCTTCACTTATATGTATGACGACTTCATACATATAAGTGAAGCATCAGCTTCATGAACTTTCAACTTCAGACTGAGTCTGGGAGGGAGCGAAGGAGCCTTCAAAAAAAATAATCAGTTTTGGTATATAGCCAGAGATTGACAGTCACTGGGACCAAGATTGCGACACCTTCCAATACAAACCCCACTTACTCCCGACGTACCACACAAAAGCGGGCTAATCTTCCCTGTGACGCCTCTTTCTGGACAGTTCCTCTGCAGTTAGCTCCCTTGAAGGGGTCTGAGACACCGGAGAGCAGGTACATTGCCACAGCAAACCTGCGAAGCTCCAGGGAAAACTCAGAGCAGCCCAGTGTGACAGAGCGATTCCCTTTATTAGAAAGACGGGCACTGCCCTGGGCGTTTACCGAAAGACGTTATAATGCTACATGCCAAATATACAGTTTTACACGTAAAAGTGCAAATTCTCAATTAGATTAACTGTCTCGTCTTTACTATTCACTTAATGATCCCAGAAATTTGTTTATGCTCTTTCGCTACTACTCTCCCCATAACATGGGTCTGGGGTCTCTCTAAGGCTGGTACAAAGGCACTTTCACATGTACATGTCACAGATGAATGCTGGCGTGACCCAACAGTCAGCGGGCAGGAGGGGGCAACATACTGCTGTAAATGACAGGCCAACAGCAATGGTTTGGAATGGGGGGGACGGGGCGTGTGGAAATCAGGGAACCCTGTTCATCCATGCTTTCGTCGTCTTCGTCGTCGTTAGAAAGGTCCTCCATGTATCAAAGATGCCAAAAATTATATATTAAATTCAAAAACAAATTAGTAAGAATGAAGGTCAATCGAATATATCCTATAATACAAAGATAATTACAAAATTAGACAGATACAAGTAAATATCCATTGATTATTTGGCTCATTTGCAAGGAGGATGGAAAAAAAAAGTCTGAGCATGGTTCTTCACAAATAACATCCCAGCAGAGACTCCATGTGTCCAGTCCAGTAACACTGGGCAGCTTTTCACCAGAGTGTCTGCCCCCAATGCCGTTCTCTAGCTCCCCCTGCTGGCCGGGTTCTGCAAGCAAGGTATTTGGCGGTGATCAAGCCAAGGAGTCCCGCGCCCCTCTGTCAGGTTCTAGAAACCATGACCAGCCCGGTTTACAGACCTGCGATTTGCCAGAAATAACCAAAATTCACATTAAAACATCCCATACATCCAAAGGTAAACAAGACACTCCGCACGTCCGGAGGTGAGCTTGACGTGAAGAGGGCTAAAGCTAGATTGATACTAGGTACATTAAAGCTAAAAGGACCATTCCAGAAGTTTCCTTTGAATCCCCATGGTGACGGACAGTAAACACCAAATCCATCAGCCTCTCCTGATGTTACACTCAACTTGGACAATGGCATCTATACTTAAATGTAGACCATACTTGGCCTGTGTCTTTCCACGGTGTGTTTCCAGTAAATAACTGAAACGTACCTGCCATTTTTCACTGAACCTGCGGACCGGCATGGCTGGAGTCCTGACTTCGAGAAAGTCCAGCAGATTCTCCCGGATTCCTGCCCCTGTGCCCTCCCCCTTCAGGCCCCCCTGGGGCTCAGAACCAGAACTAGATGATCCCTCAGACTAGAAAGACTGACGCTGGCCCTTACGGCTCTTCGTCTGCTGTAAGAAGTCCCACCACCCACGAAGGAAACGCTTGTGGGATCCACTGATACAAGTAACATATGAAGTATTAGTTTAGTATTGTTATATTATGCTTTCTGCTATTTCTGTAAAGCCTTATTAAACAGGATGCTTTCAGCGCGCCTGCAGTCCACGATCTGGCGGATCCTGTAACGAGCTTTCGTTCAGCTAGTGCTCGTTTGTGGACTCGCTCTTGGGGGAGGCCAGGCTGCTCATGCCACACAGCCTTTCACCGTCACCCCCCCACCCCTTCACATCGTGCAGGACTTGTCCAAGGGGCCCTGGGAGGAGGCTGCTGGGGGCTGCTCAGTGGCGCCCCCTTTGGGCACCATGAGGGGCTTGGGCCGCAGGGCAGGGGGCCGGAGCTGCACACCCATGCGGGGTGCCACTGTGGGCTTGAAGGTGCTCATGGCGTCGCCGGGGGAGCTGGGGCTGCGGCGGACGGGGGGCTCCGTAGCTCGCAGGCGCAGGCCATGCAGGGGACCCAGGGCATCTGCACAGCCGCCTGTAGGGGGCGTGCTCTTGGCCTGCTCCAGCGTGTCCAGCACCACATCCGGTTTGGCTGAGCTCTGCCTCTCCAGCTCCTGGAGCTCGTTCAGCGCCGTGTTCATGGTCTCTTCGATGTCCTGGAGACAGACTGTGTTAGGCCTGAATACTGCAAGGCTCTCTGACCACACACTCACTGTAAGGGGGGGGCGGGTGGGCAGGGGACTTCAGCTGGGACACGGAGGGACTGCGGGACAGATAGGGAGGACAGAAAGATGGACAGACAGATGGAAGGACAGACAAGGACAGACAGAGGGAGGGCCTGAGAGAATGACACAATGATGGATGGACAGGAGTATAGACAGAGAGGGAGGGACAAAGGGACTGGGAGAATGACAGCCAAAGAGAGGGATTAGATGGTGGAACAGAGGACAGAAGGATGAAAAGATAGGGAGGGACTGACGGAAGGACAGAATGAAGGGCAGAGAAAGGGACAGACAGACAGTGAGGGAGGGACAGATGGAAGGACAGAAGAATCGACAGAGGCACAGAGAGACTGACAGAGAAGGATAGACAAAAGGATGGACAGACAGAGAGAGGGACAGAGAGGCACAGGAGGACAGAGGGAGGGACAATCTCTTCCCCCTTTTCTCTTCCTCTCACTGACCTGTGCAATGGTCTCGGGATCCAGCGTCTTCCCGTGAGCCTCGGAGAAGCCGCCGTACTGCCCGGAGGAGGCAGAGCGGCGCATGGGGGGGCTCTCCGCCTTCCTCAGCGGATCCTGCCGCCCGCCGCGCCGCCGGCACTCCGGGCTGTCCAGGGCATGTGGGTGCCGCCCCCTCAGGAGGTCCCGTGGGCTGCCGTGGCCCTGGGACGCGGGGTGCACCGCGCAGTGGCCGTCGCTGGGCCGCAGGGGGGGGCGTCGCTGTGGGGGGTCGCTCCTCTTCCTGTGCTTGCTGTCCGGGAGAGTTGGTCAGTGGACCACACCAGTGAGATTCATTCACAACCCTATTTGTACCTTTGACAATCCTACCCACCCTCTCCAATCGCTCTGCCAAGGTAGAGCCTTAAACACTTTCGTAAAGGGGGGCATTAAAACAATGATGAGCCTTTTTAACTGCGCAGCCCGACAGACATAAACGTATAACCTTGTATCCAGACATCGGTGTCTTAGCGAACAGACACCATTTCTCTGAATGAACAGCAGGGGGAGTACAGTCACACTGGACAGTACAGGGATTCAGGAAAAGGTACTTCATGTTCTTACAATCTCAGGCCATTTTTCATCCATCTCCACTGATCTGTGGTGTACCAAGAATTCCATTCATAGCCAAATAAAATGTCATTATTGCACTTAAACAGAATAATGATGTCATTCCACAACAGTATCGTGTAGAGTGTTACTGACAGCTATGATGCAATTGTTATGAATTCTTCAATCATGGCGTCAAAATGTCTGGCATGTTGAACCTGCCGTTGCCCAGGTGAAAAGGTCAGAGAGACACCACAGAGTACGGAGCCCCCGGCCCCTCCCAAGCAGCCGAGCACGGTCACGTTAATGCAAAGGATCGCAAGCTCTTCCGAGCGACTAGCAGCTCAGTCGGAACCCATTCCAGCAGACTGACCCCGGGGGGGGGTGGGAGTCCAGCAGGGGGAAGGGAAAAAAATGCCCGGCCCCCTCTCAATTAGCAGCAGCAGGAGACTGGCTAAAGACGTGCCCTGAATTCATGTGTGGAGCTTTGTCATACTTCACACACAGCAGCCCAATCTACAGTGAGACAGTGATCGATTACAGTGACTGACTGGAGCTGTAGAGCTGGACCATCAAGAGCCGGACCAAAATCCCAGCTTTTACTTCCCTCTTTACTCTGAAGCAGTGCTGTAAAGTCTGCTTGCTGTCACCATGAACGGGTTAATCTTCCGGGCTGGGAAGAGACTCGTCTATGCGTGAGGCCTGCAGTTGGCTCACCCGCTGATGTAGGCCTCAGGAAGCCTTTCGATGGGTGAGCCTGCATCCTTTCTTGAGCACTTGTCCTCCACCGCCGGCCCGCTGCTGGCCTCGCTGTCTGCTTTCTGGCTCAGAGTGTCCGAGAACGAGTCGTCCCTGTCCCGAGAAACACATCGCGGTCACTCTCCAAGGAGACACCCGGGAAACTGAAACTGTCACCTGAAACAGGGTTGTTGTAATGGTAAACAGGTCCTAAATAATGTGAGATTGATTTACATTTTCCATATCTCCTATGATTACAGCATTGCTGTCCCGATCAAATTTATTATCCTTGTCATTCATGTGTGTGTGTGTGTGTGTGTGTGTGTGTGGGGG